CCCACAGTCATTCCATCACACAGTTAACGCTCTACCCCAAACCAGCAGTACAAAACTTACAAGGAAGACTGACCTTACCTTTCAGATTTGCTTATTTGCCATATTTATAGTTGCTTCTCATTTAATTTTCAGTATTCATCACTTATTCTACAGCCCATGCCCCATCACTGGACCTCTTCTGCATTCCAGCTGACTGCAGCAGGAACCATCCTCTGAGAGCAACATAAATCTATTCCAGAGCAACTGTAGTTCCCAGCATAAAACCAGGACAGTCTGAGAGTATATGGGCATGGAATATCCCTAACTAGCATGGCATGTGTAAAAAGGTCACAATTAGGCAGGAGGTAAGGAACAGTAGGAAAAACTGAATAAAGAGAGGAAAGCTGTGATAGACACAAACTTCAGAGGATAAACGTTGAAAGAGTTAGACTTGGGGTGATGGGACACAAGGAACTATACATGTTTGTATAAAGATTTTATGTATCTATATACATATATACATATACCTTTACAAAAAAAAAAGTGCATATATAGCACATAGAGTCTTCTTCAGACCTAGAGCTGATCTCTGGGTTTCCTAGTTATAATATTCACCTACTTTTTCAAGTAGCAATGAAACCTACAGCTAACCTGTCTCTCTTGCTTATTTCCCTTAAGGAATAGCAGCCAATATTACTACTGCTGTTTACTTGGCTAGTTCAAGGGATAAACATATGCACTCTGACTGTCATGCATGGAGGACTGCCCATGTTGAGGTCACTAGATTCTCACACAATATAATTACTTTTTTCATAAGAGTGCTTTAAGAAACAAGGCTACCACCTCTCTTCCCCAGCTAATTACCTGGGAAAAGGAAACAAAAATGACAGATATACTTAGAAGAATGTTATCAGGACAAAATCAGAAACATAATATTAGCCTATTTTAGGATGGCTTTTGCCTATGCAATCTTAATTCAGTCCCTTGTGCAGATTCATAAAGCTAGACACTGAGAACCTAGCCTCCTTAAAGCGCGTGGGCTATTTGCCATGGACTTCAGAGATGCCAGTATTTCGCCCACGTTCTTCACCTACATGCTTCCAAATTTCAGATGCAGAGTTTTTCATGAGGTCCTTTCCTCTTTTATTTACAGAGTTGTCTGAATAGAAGTATTTTTTCCCCTCTATATATGTAGTGCGTGGCCCAGTGCCTTATTTACTGCACACATATAAAGCCTACATTGAATACAGGATTTAAAATTCTTTGTGGCTGTTTCTCATCACAAACCTTATCGTTCTCCTGAGTCTTACATGTGCTATGAAAGCATCTTTAGACCGTTTTTGTGAAGCACTTGCATTACCAGCTCTGTTTTGTAGATTGGAACCTGGAGCACACAGATTTGTCTAATGCTCACTAATTCTAAGCTCTGAATTATGCATAGGTCTGATTTATTCCGAAATCTTCAGTGCTGTATGTTTAAAGCAAAGTTTCTGTTCCTCTTAGTTTCCACCATTTCCACAAATCAAGCTCCAATTATTTCGAGTTAGGCATCCAGAAAATCAAGTTCGCTCAGATTGGTGGTCACCTACAGAAACTCTGATACAATTTCCAAATCTGTCGAAGGACATAGAGCAGAAACCAGAAATCTGTCTGCATTTCCTGGACTCACTATATAGCATGTGAGGGACAAATGAGATGTCAGAGTGAGCTAAACCCAATGCTATGCTCTACCCACAGGGAGTTTGAGCCTTCTTGTTCCATTTCACTTGGAAGTATCCTGAGTACAAACCTACAAACTATTGGACTGGTGCATAAGAAAATGCAACGACAATTTAAAAAATGCCAGAATGAGATTTTCCCTGCATGAGTGAAATATGCAATAAAGTCAATAGGAGTGCTGTCAGTCAAATGAGGACCAGGTTTTGCTTGGACAACACATATTTGATGAAACATCATGTGATGTTTGAGTACAGCTATGCATTAGGAATTAAGGATTTACTGATTTAACACTTGACTTGTTCATCCTTCTTAAAGTGTTCCTATGACATCATCTTTGCATGCTCTCATTGATTAACTCTCTGAATCTGTCTCTGTGAGGCATCTTATCCGTGGCTTTTGGGGATTGTTAAATTAAATGAATAGTTTAGTGACAAACTGACTGGGATTAATCAATTGACTAAAACAACTGCATGGAGAACGTGAGCACAGAACAGGCTTGGAAATGGTTTCTAGTAATCAGAACACAGTATGCTGATTTAGATATTAGGAAAAAAAAATCTTCTCTATGAAGGTGGTGAGGCCCTGGCACAGGTTGCCCAGAGAAGCTGTGGCTGCCCCCTCCCTGGCAGTGTTCAAGGCCAGGTTGGATGGGGCTTTGGGCAACCTGGGCTAGTGGAGGGTGTCCCTGCCCAAGGCAGAAGGAGTGGAACTGGATGGGCTTTAAGATCCCTTTCTACCCAAACCAGTCTATGATTCTATGATAACAGAGATAACAAATAACTTATTAGGAGTTTGTCTGGACACAGGTGCACTCCACTCATACACAAATGTTGTCAGAAGCAAATGCATTTGCTGAGTCAATCGACTGCAATTGACCACCATGAGTTGAATCTCTTCTGAAAAGCACCAGATGTGTACATTAACCTGATGAAAAATATTACAGGTCTTGAACCTAAGCCGTAAAGAGAAAGAAGCATTGAAAGAGATATTTGTGGGAAACTGCAGATAGGATTCTAAAACAGTGGTAGTAAATTGCTGAAAATGTGATGCATGATGATGTACTCAAGCTATGACAATTAACACAATCATTAAATCTCCTAATTGAGATTTCCCTATGAATCACCTATTTGCTATTAAGAACCAGAGATATCTGTAGCTTTTGCTTACAGAGTGGAGAAGAAGATTACCTGAAACCCACTAAAAAAAGGGCTAATTAATATTATGTCAGGGTCACTAATCCCTTGGGAGTGGACCAAAAAAACTCCAAACCAACAGTCTTCATTGTGCAGGAAAAAATATTCATTTACAAGGAACCTGATTCACAAAAATTGGATTTAAAGGCAGCTGTAACTAGTGTGGTATTTCATAATGTCATTTTAATTAGTCACATTTTCCTGTATGGCAGAAAAGTTTCCTGTTGCTGAAGGTATTTCTTGAATACATTACCTAGAAATAAAACCCACAGAGAAGCAATGATGTACAATGCTCCGTCCAAGGACCAGAGTAGAGAGCCTTGGCACTTGGCCTCTCACCTCTCCGGCTGCCCGGGGCTTTCTGCCAGTTTCTCCTCTCACTATGCCTTACAGTTTTCTCCACCTTACAAAGCCACCCACTTCCAGAGCAGCATGTGTGACAGGGATGCATTAATTGCACAAGTGCCTTATTGCATGGTCATGGAGGGAAAG